AACTATTGGCTATTAAATTGAAAATTGAGATATAGTTTACAAAATGCATAAACATTTTATTTTGGTGATGGTATAAGTGTTAGAAATTAAGCCTTTATCAGTATCAATTCCAAACATGGAAAACAAGTAGTTTATTCTGTCTATCAAGCACTGATTGAACCCACCATGTGGCAGGCAGGCTTGAGTATACTGCCTCCTCCAGTCACCTTGGCAGTGCCGTGATGCAGCTGAGGCACACAACGCAGAAAGGTTAAGAACTGTTGAGGTTCTTAACACTCAATATTTGGCTGCAAGCTGACTGGCTCCAGCTTCTGTGTGCCTAACCAAAGTACTCACATTAAGATGTTGATGCTTCCTAATACTGTTCTTTAATTTTCTTCAGATTGCTGTAAGGTTTTTCAAACTAAGCTTTCCAGCTGCATGTAAAAGTTCTCTTAGTCTTCCCTTTAAAGAATACTCCTGAGGTCCATATGATTGCATCTATGTCAGGCTTGCATAAGAAAAGTGTGTGTGTGTGTGTGTGTGTGAGAGAGAGAGAGAGAGAGAGAGAGAGAATATAACCCAGAAAAATGTCTGAATTTGGGGTTGCATCTTCTAGATTCAAGTTTGGAAAAGAACAGTTTTGAGCCAATTCTTACTGAAGACTTGTCTTTATAATAAAGTTTTATTAATGTACAACCCTTCTCACTTACACTTTGTGGTAGCTTTCATGCTGAAACTTCAATAGAATTAAATCATTATGACAAGTTTAAGGCTAAGGAAAATGAAAATATTTACTACAGTACTGTGTGTGTGTGTGTGTGTGTGTGTGTGTGTGTGTGTGTGTGTGTGTGTGTGTGTGTTTGAGGGCTTGAGGGCTTGAACTCAAGGCCTGGGCATTGTCTTTGAGCTTTTGTGATCAAGGCTAATGCTCTACCACTTTGAACCACAGCTCCATTTCTGGCTTTTTGAAGGTTAACTGGAGGTGAATCTCACAGACTTTCCTACCCAGACTGGCTTTGAATAATGATCCTCAGATCTCAGCCTCCTGAGTAATTAGGATTACAAGCCTGAGCCACCCGTGTGTCCAGCTCTTTACAGAAAAGAGTGGCTCTTTACAGGAGAAAGAAACATTGCCTATCCTCTTGTAGGCTCCAATGCTGCAATGTCCAATATGGTAGCCACAAGCTGCAGGTAGCTGCACAGCCCTTGAAAGGGACTGGCATACTCTGGGATACCTAAACCACATTCCAAAGACTTAGCAATGTAAAACATCCCCATGGTTATATGCCAATTATTTGCTGAAACAATTATGTGATTAAAATTAGTTTTACTTGTTAAAATGTAACTATTTAAAATTCAAAATGCGTCTCAAATGGGTTTCTCACATTAAATCTATGGTGACAGCTGGTGTAGAGCATGGAATTTGGAGGCTCTGTGACGAACAGAAAAGAAAGAAGGAAGTATGAGAAACAAACTCTTGTATTTGCAAATATCTACAGCAAGCAAATCTTTTAAAATCCAACTATCCCTCCTAGGAATAATCACACAGAATTGCTTAGAATTCCCACAGAAGTAGTCATAGGTGGGATCTCCCAGAGCAGACTCTGATTGAGAATTGGAATTGGGAGGTGATCCAGGAAGCACCTGGAAGGAAGAGGAAATGGAAAGGAAGGAAGAGGAAAGAGGGTGTGTTAATGAGCCCCTTGTCACTTTGGACTCATGTGCTTTCTCCCAGTGGGGCCCTGGGAGAGATTTTTATGGACTGACGCTCCTAGTGGTTCCAACTAGAAGAAAGTGAGTGAGCTGTGCTGTTTTTCCCACCAATTGCCAGTAGTTTCCATCTGCATAACTTGACTGTGCCTAGCACCACAGCCTGCCTGCCCTGCCAAGGTCTGGAAGCAGCTCTTAGGCAGATGGCACAGGGGTTTTCAGAAAGTGACCGCCAGCCATATTGGGAATGATACCTTTCAGAGACATTGAATTGGACCCTTCTAATGTCTTGCTCTTAAATCAGACTATTTTAATCTCTTCACATTTATAAGTTCAACAAATACCTGTGGTGTTTTTGGTGCATGTGTTCATTTTCTCATCTGGTCTTAATGGTAGCATTGATAGGTGGATCATTATCCTCTCATTATGAGTGGGAAAAGTGAGCTCAAGTACGTCATTTGTTCAAGAGAGTCTGCCCGGATAGTGGCAGAGGTCTCCTTTCCTCCCTCATCCATGGCCATCCCCGCCTGATTCCTTGGATTTCTATCAAGTCTAGCTTGGTAAGAAGATGTGGCTCCATTGATGTTTTCAGGTGACAGTAGAATTGATAGATTTCTGTAAAGATATGAACAGGAATGTAGATACTTGTATCTACTTTAGGGCCACTAAAAATGTTCTCTCTCTGTTATGCAAAGTACCATCAAATGAAGAGATTATAGGGCCTGCAGACCACCACACAGGATGTTAGTGATAGAGTTAAATTGCAGAAAATCCCCAGAGAAGTCCCTGCAGTGGAAGCTTATGGACACATGGCTTTTTGACGACTGGATTTTGTTACCGTTCCATTACCCATGTTCTGTTCAAAAGTGCTGTCAGCCCCTTTGGTACTACTTGAAAACAAGTCTCTCTCCTGGCTTAATTTCCCTGTATTATACTTCTGACCCAGTAATTCTTTGCGGACTTTGGTAACACTTGTACTATTTAAGTTTGAATAACCCCATAGGAATGAGATAGGTCAAAGTGTTTAAATCACATGCTTAAGTCTACGTATTAGATGATTAAAAACAGATTTTATACATGAGGTATATTGAAGAAAGGGAGGAGGCAGCAAGCAGATGTTTGCAGAATTGAAATGTGTTGGATTGCATTTTTTGGCTCTCTTACTGACTAGCTTTAGAAAAGTCATATCTATGACAATTGAACTGTAAACAGTTACATGATCTATTTCCCTAGAATTTTCCTGCTACAAAAGGTCAGCCAAAAAAGAAAAGTAAAAGGATTCCCTAAGATTAACACACTAAAAGGAGCTGACTAATATACCTTGTAATCATCATAGCTAAATCGAGGATATGGAATAATGAAGAGCCTCAGAATTGTTCATTGGTCTCTGACTATAATGTGATTCTGTTGTAGTTCATGTAGTGCAAACATCTTTTGGTGTTTCCATATAGGGGAGGGAAGGTTGTTGGAAGAGCTTTGAAAGTGAGTCTTTCTGTGGAATTACTAGATGGTCCCTAAGTCAGTCCAACAGGCTCACTGTGTGACTTTGGTTTTAAATGATGAATAGTTCCACATCTCTCTTAAAGTAGCCATATTTGAGATGTGTTGAAGATTTCAAAGACAAACATGGAAGGTTTCTTGTTGGTGTTTCAATCCAGATGACAAAAGCATAAAACGTCCCTCAGAAATGAGAACACCTGAGGTTTAGAAGAAACTAGGTTTTCAAGTGTATGGTGACGAATGCAGAACCCAGCTTACACATGCGTGGGAAATCCCCCAGGTCTAGAAATAAAAGTACGCGCCGAGTGGTGGGGGGGGCAGGATCTGGGCAACTCTAAGTTTGGGGCGGTGCCATGGGGAGCGGGAGCGGGAGCGGGAGCATACCCTGTTCACTAGCAGTGAGGGCAGAAGCCCTGCGCAACAGAAAGTGAATACTCGTCATGCACGCTCTTGGCTCAAAGGGCAGCTCTCACCTTCCCTGGAATTAAAGCCAGACCAGGAACACTCATGGAAGGAAACAGAAGCATGGAGCCAAGCCATGATCTGTGCCTCAACGGCACACAGTGTCTTGTGGGAATGCCTTCTTTGGAGGAAGGAACTCAAGTCCTGACCTCAGCGCATACTCCTCACCTGGCTGGGCTAGGTGATCCCCAAATCATAGCGTAGGGTACAGAGTTCCTATCAGATACCAGAAGAATGACTTGACACAGATGAAAGCAGATTCTCAGGAAGCGTTCAGCAAAGATCGGTACATGGAGAATTGCCATTTTTCAAAAGCTTAAGAATGAGTCGATTGAGTTCACTTGGAATTATGGAGAATAGAACTGTATTTTTGGAACACGGTCCAAAAATAGTTCAATAAGAAAAAGCAGGTGTGTCCAGGTGCCAGTGGCTCACACCTGCGACTCTAGCCACCTGCAAAGCTGTGACTCTTTATTGCATGTGTCTTCCAGTTGCCCGACCATTTCCTTGTAACAGGGAGTAGAGATTTTTGTTCTGGCTTCCCAAGTATCTCTCTCGGAATCTGACACATAGTAAAAGCATAATAACATTCAGTTGTATGGGTGGATAAGTGAAGGAACGAGGACTAAAAATGGGAAAGAATGGGGATATTGGAATGACTTAATGCAGCACACAAGACTGAAAATAGAATTAAACGTTCATTCAAGGAAATTTCAATTTGATGCCCTATAGGAATAGGAAATAAGTCTATAGTCTTACAAACCTCTGTGATATAAAACAGTGTTAAGGGAATATTACCTTGCATACGTAGAAAAAGAACAGAATCATGTACACTGAAACAAACTGAGGAAATATATGTGACAAGGATTTCTAATAAATGTTTATGAATGGCCATGCTCTCAGCAGTAGCTAGTCAAGTCAAACTTGTTTCCAACAGATTAACCTCGGCTTAACCATAAAAATGGTAAATCCTAAAATTAAATACAGGCTAGAGATATGTTGGGATATCTTCCCTACATTATTGTCATTGTAAGAAAGATATTTCTGATTCAGTTAAAGGGATAAAAAATTGAATCACTTTCTTCTTAATTTATAACACATAATAATTATTCAGTTAAACGTGCATTCACACAATAAAGAGGAACAAAATGATGAAGTTTGAGTATTTCTAGAAATTTCTTTTACATTGAGACTTTGAAGATGGCAGTTTCAGTCTATAAATACCTGAAATAGTATCAGGTTATTGACACTTCTGAAAAAACTGCTGATTTTCCTGAGTATGAAAAATTGTGTCTATACTAGAGAAGTGTACATAATAGCATTTTCCCCCTTTTCTTTTTGAACAGCAAAACTTAGAGAGCAACCTCACCAACCTTATCAAGAGGAACACAGAACTGGAGACCCTTTTGGCTAAACTCATTCAAACCTGTCAGCATGTGGAAGTGAGTATATCTCTAGCTGTATGTACTCCATTGCGGGATTGTAAGTGCTAGATCAGTGTTTTTATGTCCTCACCATTTCTAAGTGAGAAATTTTTTTCTTCTTAAAATTAGCTCCTCTTCAGAAGCCACGCTTGTTAAGATAGATGAAATGGAAAACTAGAACTCAGAGACTTTCTTTTCTTTCTTTCTTTCTTTCTTTCTTTCTTTCTTTCTTTCTTTCTTTCTTTCTTTCTCCTTCCATCCCTCCTCCCCCCATCTTTCTCTCTTTTTTTTTTCCATGATGGCCCTGGGCCTGTGTGCTGTCCCTTAGCTTTTTCACTCAAGGCTAATGCCTACCACTTGAGCCACAGCTTGGCTTTCCTGCTTGGGGGGTTGGGGGGAAGGTTAATTGGAGATAAGAGTCTCACAGTCCTTCCTGCCTGGGCTACTTTCCAATTGTAATCCTCAGATCTCTGCCTCCTGAACACTTAGGATTACAGGCATGAGCCATCAGTGCCTAACTTCCGGTTTCTAAATATATTGCCATTCATACCATTGCAACTATTATTTTGGAAGATAAAAGTCAAGCCACTACAGATCTATATCAAATGCTTCTTAGTAGTCATATATATTTCCATGAAATCAACTACCATTACTGCACTAACAAAACCTGCAATGATTCAACACTGTGCAAGGGAAAAATGTCCATTTGAACTTTATTTGAGTGCTTACAAGTTAAACTCCCCAGATATTCCCAGTTGTAGAAGCAAAATATTTTGAACATATAATTAAAATTTCTGACAAGAACTGGTTGCAAGATAGAAATTATAAGTTCTTTTATCATCTAATCAGTAATTATTAGTTTATGATTTTATGTGTGCCCATAGCAGCAGTTGATGTACAATAGAGTAAAATGAATAATAAGTGCACAATGTATTCAACAACCACATACTCAGTTGAAGAACAGTGCGGGATCTAGTCGGGTGTGACTGAAGTGGTAGAATCTATCGCATTTTAAAAAATCTGAAGTCCATGTGTATTTTGGCATTGGTGGCTCAAAACTGTAATCCTAGTTACTCAGGAAGTTGAGATCTGAGAATTGTGGTTCAAAGCCAGCCTGAACAAGAGAGTCTGTGAGACTCTTTTTTTTGGGGTCCGGTCATGGGCCTGAACTCTGGGCCTGGGCGCTTTCCCTCAGCTCTTCAGCTCAAGGTTAGCGCTCTACCACTTGAGCCACAGCGCCACTTCCAGCTTTTTTCTTTTTTCTTATGTGGTGCTGAGGAATCGAACCCAGGGCCTCAGGCATGCAAGGCAAGCGCTCTACCACTGAGCCACCTTCCCAGCCCATCTGTGAGACTTTTATCTCCAATTTTTTTCTAAAATGGCAGAAATGCACTAAGTGCTAGAATACCATCCTTAAGCAAAAGTTAAGGGACAGTGCCCCAGCCCTGAGTTCAAGCCCTCATACTGGCACATATTTTCACTCTGACATTGGGATACAACTTAAAAAAATAATGATGAGTTTAAAGGATCAGACTTTTTTTCATTCTTGTGATGCAGAAAATAATAAGTGCGACATTTTCCTTTACCCTATGTTAGACAACCATAGACTAGTTAAATGATAAAGAAGTGAGTACAGTTTGCCTGAAACTTTATAGAGGAGTTGTGACTTCAGCCAAGCCTATAGATTTCAGAACTACTGTTTGTAAGCATACTGCAGCTATTGGGATGCCATCTTATTTTTTGAATACAAAGTTACTTGCCAAGGATTCATTGCTCAGCACAATAAAATTTAGCAAAGATGAGTTCGGATCCTCTCAGCTTAACAAACTGGTCCACTGTGCGAATGCTAGTTCTTTAAAGGAAGGTTTAAAATAATTAATGTTCATAAAGTTGGTACTGTTCCTTATTTCTGATTGGAAATGTAAAAACTGGTTACTATGAACCCTGTCAGTTGGCAACGTTTCTAAACTCCAGATCAGTTAAGCAATGGTGTCTAAGGAGTAAAAGGAAGGTTGTTCCCCTCCCCCACCTGACCCCTCTACTTCAACTACTCAGCATTGGAGTGCCATGGAGCAGAGTATGATAAGTGGAGGAGAAAATGACATTCAAGAAAGCAAGAGAGGAAGAAGAGCAAAATGGAGCTGAGAGCAAATTAGAACTGCTATCCAGTGAGCTCATAGGTTCAACCATAGGTCCTGTTTCTTTAAGAACTACAGGATTCTGTAAGTAGAACCATCTTTCATCATGTTGGATGCAGTTGGGAAGGCGAAAACAGCAAGTACAGCAACAATGTGCTACAGAATCCTTTCTAACCTTGTGCTTAGACTGGATTCACTTGTGGCCATCATCTCCCCGGGGATCAGGTTAAGCCCTGTTGATTAAACAACATGAGAAACACCAGTGAACAAGCATAATGTTTTCATTATTGCAGAGTAACGTGACTATGCATTATATGAATGAGTGGATGAACAAAATAAGAAGATCCGTGTGCTGTATTTTATTTTAATGATGTGATGGCATTTGATATTTAGGATAATAAGAGAAAATTATTTCTCTTTAGTGAAAAAAAAATTACCTGTGGTAAATCTTATGCTTTCTGGATTAGGTGATTATTTCATTCGATTTCAGCTGGTTACTTCTTAAAAGCATTAGTGTCTGGTTTCTATTATGGCTGGTAGTGATTTCAGAAAAATGCCTTGTTCCTAAATATAATATTAATATGACTTGTATTTACAAAATTCTAGCCATCCTAGCATAATGTAAAATTGTGATCTATCATGTTCAGTAATTTCAGATAAGAGATAAATTTGAAAAAACTGACAACGGCCAACTATTGTAAGGAATCAGTTACTGTTTTAATGGAGATGCAAGCTTTTAAAATAAAGCTATTCCTGAATCAATTGTGGCAGACTTGTAAATAGACACATATATGCAATTAGACCTTACTATAGACAAAAAGAAAAGGGTATTCATTTATTTCTCTATTGCTTTGTATAAACCCTTGGGAATGACAACAAATGATGGGTGAGTAAATTTGGAGTGTCATGAATTTATTCATGGTAAATAAAATAGTAGAAAATTTTTAAAAATCAATTAAAATTAAAGAAAGATAAAGAATTAAAATTAAATTGATTAGAGAAATAAAGATCATAGCAGTACCTGTTTTGTTTTATCCTCTTATTCCTAATTATTAGTATTCTTGAGGAAGTGTGTGTGTGTGTGTGTGTGTGTGTGTGTGTGTATGCACACATGCATGTGCCTGCCAGAACTGGGGCTTGGAACTCAGGGCCACACACTCTTGTTTGTTTGTTTGTTTTTGTGCAAGTTTGGCACAACTACCTTTTGAGCCTCACCCTTGCTTCCGGCTTTTTGCTGGTCAACTCAAGATAAGAGTCCCTTAGACTTACTGCCAGTGCAGACTATTGATCTTGAGCCATGTTTTGCTAACCAGATATTTCTGGGTGCAAGTGTTAAGCTTTGCATAGTGAGATATTTGCATTTATTAAAGGGTTGTATTAAAGGGTTGCCCTTAGTATGAATGGACTGTGAACCTTTCTCCCAGGGGGCTCGCTATCTTCACTAAGACAAAAGATCACCTACAACTCAATTTTCAAAACAATATACAAAGTGTAATTTCCATGGGAGGAAATTTCAGAGAAGTGAGAAATTACTCTCGCCGACCGGGTCGGGAAGGAAGCACGTGATCGAAGCCTGCCTCCAAGTGGGGGCTGTGGGCACCGTTTGGATAAACGGAGGAAGAGGAAAGACACTGTTTCCAGTGTGCATAGGGGCGGGGCCTAGCTATGCATAGGGGTGGGGCCTAGTTGTGTGCAGGGGCGGGGCCTAGCTGTATTAGGGGACCAATCCGTGTGCAGGGGCGGGGCCTCGCTCTCCCAGGGGGACCAATCCGTGCGCAGGGGCGGGGATGAGAATGAAGGAGTGCACGCACTCACTCAGTGAGCACTTCATTCTGAACACACGCAAAGTGAGTGGGAAGGATAGGTGAGTCTTTCATGTTGCATCAGGGTTCAAACTTTCCTCCTGAGGGTTCATGGACGGCTATCTGAGCATGTAATTCTGGACATGCTTCACAGTTAAGCCAAGAATCTGTAACTCTTTTCAAGAAACAATTCTTGTAGTTTTTAGGAGAATAAGATGTATATCTTCAGGCAAACAATTACTCATCCAAGGCCCAAGTAAAAGCTCGAGGAAGACTCCAAAGAAGTAGTGGGATGTGTTAGGCAGTAGGCATGTTATTTGTTTAAATCAGTGCAGTAGGAAAGTATTTCCTGATCGGCATCCTAGGTTCCTAGACTCTACTTCCTTTTCCTCTTCCTGACGGTGTCCTTGTATTTGGAACTGAGCACTCCTCAGGGAAAAGAATCCCCTGGCTCGGTGGAGTGAAAACAAAACAAATAAAAATTAAAAAAAAAACACCACACAGCACCGAGGCAACTCCTAATTGTTGTAAATGAAGTCAATGAATTCCTTCCCACGACGCAGAAGAAAATGCCACTTCCTTACAAGTCCACCCCTCCTCCTGGGGTTTCATTTCTGCTTTTCTTTAAAAATGAAAGCATTTGAAGGTCTTCCCTCCCCCTCATTGTTTTCATCGCTTGTTTTATAAATGAGAGTTAGCAAATGAAATAGACTTTTGATTACATAAGTACCAAATCTTTTAAAAATGAGAAAAAAGAGTAGGAAAATCAAGTTAGTTCTCCACTCAGGACAGATGCTTTATAAGAGCAATACTGGGAAGACTCCCAGGAAATGTTTGTGTAACTTGATGGTTGGGATTCTAGAAACTTAGTGGGTTATCACAACTCTCTTTTGTTTACTTCCAGAGAGGAGTTCAGTAAAATGTTCCCTTGAGTGAGTTTAGAGTTAATGTTATTGGGAATAGAAGACAAGCTCATGAAAAGTAATCAAAATGTAGATCAGGAACAAAACTTGGTTGGGCTCACCTGTAATTCCAGCACCCAGGAAGCTGAGGCCAAGGGATTCAGAGTGCAAGGCCA